ATTACTTTTTAATTATTTTAATGAGAGACCTGAGCTTGCATTGTAGACATGATTGATTCTATGTTTGGTTTGATATTTGACACTGCTACTCTTAAATCAGCTTCAACATTTAATCTGGAGCGATATTTGTTTTTAATTATCGTTAGTGTTGAAAATGCTGTTTCGCATAAATAAGTTGATGCAAAAGGAAGTAAAATTGATATAGCTTGTTTTGATAATTCTGGATATTCAGATTTGATGGAAATCCAAAATGTATYACATGCATTTTCTTGAAATCTGATACGTAGATTTTCATCTGACGACAAGTCAATAAGTTCTTCACTTATTTTTAAATTTCCTAATTTTATTTCATTGATATTAAAATGAAATGGATTTCTTATCCAACCTAGACTTTCTTCTGGGAAATCTTCAAACCGTGCATTAAAGTTTGTTTGTAAACTTATTAGATGAGTAGTTATAATTTCTTTTATCATATTAATATCCACATCATTATCACTGAGGAATTCTGATAAACATGAAAACATTTCAAATTTGTCATCGTCGATATAATTTTTCCACAGAAGAATTTTTTTTTTAAAAGCATTGATTTTATCAGAAAKAAATAAAATATWAGTATTTTTCCCTTGTAGGYTTAAATTTAGACAATTTAGTTTTTCAAATATATCTGCAAGATAACCCAGAATTGCAAGCCATTGCTCGTCTAAAAAATGTTCCGAAAGTTTATTATTACGTTCCAGAAGAAAAATTCGTGCTTCATCTCTGAGTTCAAAAAGGCGTGATAATATTTTACCACGAGACAACCACCTTACTTCAGTATGAAGAAGCAATTTTTTATGGTCAGAACCCATTTCATTGCAAAGTATAGTAAAAAGTCTGGAATTTAATGACTTTGATTTTATAAAATTTATTACACTTATAGCATTAAGGAGTACTTTATTAACATCTGGTTGAAGTTTTTTGGAAGCTAAAGCTTCTCTATGAATCATACAATGGTTAAACATTATATTTGAAGACACTTCTAGAACTTTAGCTTTAAAACCTTTTTTTGAACCAGTAAGGGCAGCTGCACCGTCAGTGCATATTGACACACACATTGACCAGGGAATTTCATTAATTTCTAAAAAATTGTTTATAAGAACAAAAATATCATTTCCAGTCGTACGTCCTTCTAATGGTTGACAAAATAAAAAGTCTTCTTCAATTTTATCTTTATAAATATATCTAACATATAYAAGAAGTTGAGCAAGATTAGTTATATCCGTAGATTCATCTAATTGCATTGCATAATAATTTCCTCGTAATCTATTTAGGAGTTGTGATTTTATATTATCAGACATATTTTCAATTCTACGCGACACAGTATCTCTTGATAAGGGAATCATTTTTAATTCATTTGCATATGATTCGCCATGCATAATTGATACTATTTTTATAGCGGCCGGTAAAACGAGAGATTCACCAATAGAGTGTGGTTTTTTGGTTTTAGCAATTAAAKWTGAAGCCTCTAATGATGCAGCTAGAGCTTTTATAGGAACTGAAGAAAAATTACGCATAGTATTTTTTTGAACTTCTATCGAATTTTCATACCTTTTAAAAAAGTCTTCCTCTTTATGTTGGAATTGAGGATGTTTAGTAACTAAATGTCGTTTTAGCTTTGATGGCTTCATACTTTCTGAAGCTAATCTTTCTAAACAAATAACACATTTTGGCTCACCTTTTTCAACATCGAAAGTGAATCCAAACTTGATGTAACTGTCTTGGTATTTACGGTCCTTTTTATTAACTTTTCGACTGGTTTTTACATCTGACGACATTTCCGATACCTTACGAACTTTAGTTTCTATAGCACTTTCATCATCACTATTCATCGGTCGTTTAATTAAAAATTTATCCATATCGTTTTAGTTTATATATTATAAAATATTAAAATATTAAAAATGTTAGTTTAAAATAATACAAAATACAAATAATTATTACAAGCTATACAAAATTATAAGCATTAATACGATCAACTCAACGACTCGTACATGACTATCGGACTATTTCATAATAAYCGTAAGATTAAATAAAATTACTGATTAAATTCAATTTAAAAATAACCCATATACTGCGTGGTTCAATAGAACTAGTTATCGCAACATTAAGATATGACATGTCATAATATTACGATTGACACAGCCATCAACGGTACAAAATAATTTTACTTTGTATAAAACTATAAAATAWYATACAATATACATAGTAATATAGTATAAAACTTTTTCATTTGGTGATTACTGGCGACCCCCTAATAAAATTTCGCGACCCCTAAGGGGTCTACTGTAGCTACTGATACATATTATATTATATTATTTAAATAATCTAAAAAATGTCAGAGTTCAAAAATGATATAAAAACATATAAAATTGCACTATCTATACTTTACCCGTAACACACATATAAATATATTATGTTTTATATATTTTAAAATGAAGACAACTTATTATTTACTATTTCAGATACCTTGGGTYTGGGTGTACATTCACAGATTTGCATTATTCCTACAAATTAGGAACATCAACAATTGCTCAGATTATTCGGGAAGTTTGTATTGTAATATGGGATGAACTAGTTGAAGTTTACATGCCTTCTTTTACAGATCAATATTGGCAAAATATTTCTACTGGTTTTGAACAACGAGCGAATTTCCCTAATTGCTCAGGAGCGGTGGACGGAAAACACATTCGTATAATTAAACCCACTGGAACTGGTAGTCAGCATTATAACTATAAACATTATTTCTCAATTGTTTTATTAGCAGTTGTGGATTCAGACTATAGGTTTATATATGTTGATGTGGGATCATTTGGAAAGGACTCCGACTCCACTATTTTCAAAAATTCATCGTTCGGAACTTTATTGACCAATGAATCACTACATATTTCCAGACCATCTCAATTACCGAATACGAATGAAACTGTTCCATATGTATTTGTTGGAGATGAAGCTTTTGGTCTATCAAAAAACGTACTACTACCCTACGCAGGAAGAAATTTATCGGAAAAAAAGAAATTTTTAACTACCGTTTGTCTCGTGCAAGAAGATATGTGGAATGTGCTTTCGGAATTTTATCAAATAAATGGAGGATTTTTCATAGACCTTTAAACGTTACCACAGATTTGGCGGTTGATATTACGAAAGCTTGTTGTGTTTTGCATAATTATGTACGTGAAAAAAATGGATATGTTTTTCAAGACACGCTAACTATTGATGGGTTTAATGAAATTGAAAGACCTAATAACATTAACCGCGGCAGCAGATTCGCAAGTGATATAAGAAATACATTTGCAGATTACTTTCATACCATAGGAGCTATACCATGGCAATATGGAAAATAGTTAAGTTATAATAATTATTATTTTTCTAATTTTAAATATTACTTATTAGTTATTAATATCGATTTTTTCGCCATAATATAATTTTTGCTTAAATAGTTTAAGTATTGACTTAAAATAATATAATATAACTATTCTTATAATATAATAATAATATAATGCTGATGACATAAATATAAAATGATGAGAAATTATTAAATTGAATATATTATTACACAACGTTTAAATAAGAAATAAAATGTCAACTACTTACCAATTTGTTTTTGTTGCTGCCTAGAGATCTTATTGAAATCTGGATAAAATAAAACACATATTTCTTCCCAAGCCGCTCTTTTTAAATTTCTATTTGAATAATTATCTAGGATTTTATCCCAAAGAAACGCTCTTGATTGGACTTCACTTATAAGTACATCTATATCTATATTTAAATTGTCGTCTGAAAATTCACAAATTTTCGGCGATGGCGTATTCGCTCCGCCAGAGCGGTTGCATTCATCGGAGGATGACATGGTACTGAGTTTGTTTTTTTGGTTTATCGAACGATAATGATCGTTCGTGTGTTTTAATCAATTTATTTCTATACATTTCGATTGAGATATTTTAGTCGTACGATATTTTTATCGTATGGAATATTAAAGTGCATCCGACAGTTTTCGAGGCGACGTACGATTATCTTATCGTACGACATTTTATCGTGATCGTGTGAACAGCTCTATTTATAAACATGTAAATTCAAATATCGTGCGATAATATTTTCGTGCGATAAATTAATCGTACGATGAAATATCGTTCGTGTGTAACGGCCGTAATACGTAATAATAATGATTTCTTGAGAGATCGGTTTCGTTTTGATCCGACCATGTATTAAATATACTTCGTAAAGCATCATCCGCACTGTTCCATCTTGTAGCACCTATCTTTTTTAATTTTCTTAATTTATCTRCACCAGTTTCATTTTCAAAAATAGTATCTGTCCAAACATCGGCACGTTTATATGATTCAGTGAAAAATACAGCAGTTTTATTAATTACAGAGAAAACATTTTGAGCAATATTATGTTTTGATAATAAATACAAATTAATAATAAGAATAAAATGTGACGGTGGCAAATAATGATAAAGTAATTATTTTCAATAATAAAAACCTTTTTTGTTTTTCTATGGGCCCGGGGTGCGATCGCACTTTAGCACCCCGGGCCAGTCCGCCACTGGGTACACCGTATTATGMATTTATATTAAATTTATACTACACGCCACATGTTATTATATAGGAACAATAACGTAGTACCACAATATTACGTGACATTGTATACAACGTATATGTTGTATACGTTGTATATGACGCGATACGTATAATATTAATTATTAATAATATATTATAATACTTATTGTGCACTATAAAATATATTAATGAC